ACATTAGCTACTGTTTAATTATGTTGAGTTTAATAATTCAAGGAAGAGTCTGATAATAGAGCCTGACATATAACTGAGAGAAAACCACCCCAATCCCGACAATAGTCAGTCAGCTAAGTCATCACCCAGGATACTTCTATTCCATTTCTTTTCCAACTGAGTTTTGCATATCTCTCTACCCTCCTCCAATAGTGAGTCAGCATTCCACTGGCCACTGAGCATGAAGTTTATTCCCCATTGAGCTGAAAAGAAAATTGTGTACATCTGCAAAACTTTATCCTAAAAAGAAAATGGTGCACAACTGTTACACCTTTGGTTCTCACCCCCCACCACAAGCCTTCTGATAAATTTCCCTTTCTTCATTCCAAAAGTGGGATAAGAGTATTTTAGGATTAAAGAAAAAAGAAAAAGAAATAAACAATGAAAAAATAAATGTGTCTGCATAAGCAATGGCACTACTACCAAACAGACTGAATGAGAATTCTTACAATGAGGACAACGAAAAGTAGGCAAAAATTATACTTGCCTTCTTAAATCTCATTGAACCCAGAAGAAGATAATCCACTGTTTTTGGATTGTCTAGTGTGTTTAAGAAGTCAGCAATTACAGATTCATAAAAAGAAAGAAAAATGCAGACAAACTGCTTGAATAAGACTCCCCATATCATCTGTGCAAATGAATGGAGAAACAGCTATCGGGCTTTCAGTGGGAGATTTTATTTAAGAAACTATGGCATAGCATTTTATTTGCATACTTATTTACTTACTGTTTTTTATTCCCTCTGAGCAGATTCTCTATTGCCTCATTACTGTTTGAAATTATTACAGTAGTTTTAATTAGCAGAAGTTGTAATGGGCTGCCTACAACTACTTTTCATGGTGAGTTTGGAGAACTCCCTGTGCAAAACAGTGTAAACAAGCAAGAGTTTGTAGAAGTCTTCTGAAATGTTCTCTGTGAATTTGTCTAATCCTCTTTTAAAGCTATCCATGTTGGTGGCCATTGGTTGCCTCCTATGGGAGCGAGTTCCAGAGTTTAACTATGTACTGTATATAGAAGTACTTTCCTTTTGCTGTTCTGAATTTGCCAACATTCTATTTAAATGGATGTCTAAGAGTTCTAGTGTTGAGAGAGAGAGAAACAGAGACAGAGAGACAGAGAGAACTCTTCCACATCTATTTTCTCTATCCCATGCATCATTTTAGAAACATCTATATTTTCATTTCTGAGGAATCATATATAATGAAATGAAAAGGATATTTAAAATAACTTTTGTAACAAAAACTAGAAGCTTTTCTTTTGGGAATTATAGTGACCTAAACTGTATAGAAACTTATTCATGTATGCTACTACTGCGGCAAGAATGTTACTTGCCCCAAAATGGAAAGAAGTCCCAGCAAAGGAAGCATAGATACAAAAACTTATGGAATATGCAGAAATGGCGAAACTTACTGGAAAAATAAGAAATCAAGTTAATAAACTTTTTATTAAAAAAATGGAAATGGTTTATTGAATATTTAAAGATAAATTGTAAACAGATAAGAACATTGGCAGGATTCTTGTAATAACCTGTGGTTTCACAAGAGTATATATTTAAATAAGATGAATAAATTAGAACATTAATTTGGATATGCAGAAGATATTAAAAATAAATTTAAGGAACTGCAGAAAGAGGGGGAAGGAAGTCAAGTTTTGAAATGTCAAAATGATTGTAAAATTAGTGAAATGTATAAACTTGAAAAGTATAATCATTTTTAAAAATAAAATAAAATAAATGGCTATCTTGTCACCACTTACTCTCCTTGTGATTTGAGGACCCGATCCCCGCTTGGGGAATAAAGACACGTGGACACAGTATATAAGGTTAATGGGCAAGAAAAGGCCACAACTTTATTAATTACAGCATGTGAGAAGGTATTGGCTTAGGCATTGGACCACGGAACATTATACTCCACCCACTCGGAGAGGGGTGAGTCGGAAGAGGGGTTAACCACCAGTAGGGGGAGCCTGTTGATGCTAATACAACTATAAGCTCTCCCCTGATGTCACCGAGGGTCGTGCCATGGCCCCCCGCCACACGGGCATCGGACAGGATCCACGCATCTGGAGCCAGGATAGGCTCAGGCCCCTGACTCAGTCCAGCTGGTGTTTGTTGCAGGGGAACCTGTGCAGACTGGAACTCTTCAGGGTCAGGTCTCAGACTTGGTTCAGATGATGCCTGAGGCAAAGGATCCGGTGCAGACTGAGACTCCTCTGGTTCCGAGTCTGAGCCCAAGTCCCAGGCCATCACACAGAATTTCAAAACTTTCTCAAATTCACTTTACTTTCAAATTAACCACACCACTGATATCCACTATGACTTGAGGTTTTAGGTAAGAATAACTTTGTGAAGTAATGAGATATTTGGGAGCATGCCTAAAGGGAATAAGAAAGCAAATAGTTTTTCTTTTTTTCTTTTTCAAAATCACATACGAGACAAAGTTTTCTCAGATAAAAACTCTTGTTAATGAGGAAATAGTTATTTCTCCATCCATTTTTATTGATGTTAGTAAGGGAATTACACTGCAGCGTCTTACTTGCACTTTTTTCTACTTATAAATGCATGTGTTGTATCCTTAGCCATTAGCACACAATTCTGTATTTAAATTAACATCTGATTAAAGTGCATTTTTTAAAGTAGTAAACTATTTCAAAACAAGGCTTCCAACATTTGAAACACATTTATATTGGCTTAGGGGACATTTTTCATGATTTTTTTTTAAATCAACTTGCTACAATTCAGCTTAGAGATAAGAGTTATACAAATTAAGATAAGAATTCAAAAGACAGTTGGATATTGTCAGCCTAAAGGATGGTGATTTCTGCTACGGAAAGGGCTTAAAAAGGCAAGTAGTAAACTTTCTTACTCATTACTGACCTCATTGTGATTATCTTTATTTTTTTAATGAAGATATGTTTGAATTCATAAATTTCCATTAATTCCCCTTGTATGATTTATGCAAACATCTATTTTCCCTCCTCCCAGTTCTACATTAAAAACCCTATAAGGTTAGCCTGTTCAGTACAGCACCAGTTTTCATTTTAAAATCTGATACAGAGGGTTGAGAAACCTTTGAGATATAACAGAAGGTGGTGCAGGGGGCTGCTACGGGTGTGTCAGTTGCCCCCCCCCAAAAAAACCCAGCCTTCTTCCCTGTTCCATTAGCAAAAGTAATTTTCTTAATTTATATTACAGTAGTTTATTTGTTTTTAATGGGCATTTTGCAGAAAATGCTTGGTTGATGTTGTTCTCATGCTAGAATATGTGCAATCTAACTTTGGTCCACAAAGATAAATATTATATAGATTTCCTCATGACACTCTTCTCATTAGTCATGCCTTCCCTGTGGAATGCCCTCCCATCAGATGTCAAGGGAATAAACATCTATTTGACTTTTAGAAGACATATTAAGGCTACCCTGTACTGGGAGGTTTTGAGTATTTCTTGGGGGTTTTTGTTTTTAATATTTTATTAGAAGCTGCCCAGAGTGGGTGGGGCAATGCATTCAGATAGGGGGCATATAAATGTTGTTTGAGTCAACAAAAGCTATTTATTGAAATGCTTAAATATTTAATCGAAGAACTCGCAGAAACTGTTTTCCAGTGCTGAAATCCTATGCATTTTTACCAGTGAGTAAGCAAGCTACAATGAAAACAATAGGATTTACTTCTGAGTAGCTATGTGCTAGCTCATAATGTTTGTGGGGAGCAGAGGCATAGCATAAAGAGAGGATTCATTTTCTTCTGTCCCCATCACTTGTTATTCTATTATTCTATTTGCACCTATCTGAATTTTGCAATTTTGCAAAAAACTCAGTGTACAACCAAAAACTGTCTACAAAAATGCTTATATTGGGGGAAAGTATGCCTGAAAATGGACTCATTGGGGGAAATAGCATATTTGCACATTTGGCAAATGTGCATTCAATGTGTATTATAGGAGATTGCATACCAAATTGCTGATGAGTTTTTGTGAGGACCTTTGTTGCAAACTCCTAGAGCTGACTGGGGGAGAAAGATGAGAAACTTTGAACTGCTTCAGTCAGGCTCTTCTAATGTTCATATGACACACACGTGGTAAATATTGAGCAGTTCATGCTTACTTGATGCAAGAAATATTTCACATTTGCACTCTGGTGCCATTTTAGAAAGTTTAGCATATGTTCCATTTTGGTTGTGTCAGAGTCTGTCACCCAAATGTTTTGCAAACTTCCATACCTATAAACTTCCATACCTTCCAAACGGAAGCAAAATATTTAGATCCTACCTGCTTCTTTACTATAATCATCTATGAAAAGCCCGATGCGCCTATATTTATATTTGGGGTGTGTTTGTGTGTTAATAAAGGCATGTGAGATTACAATCTTAATATAGTGGACGCTTGGGTTGCAAACGTGATCCATGCAGGAAGCACGTCTGCAACCTGCAGCGCTGCTTCTGTGCATGCGCGGGTTGCAATTTGGTGCTTCTGCGCATGCTCAAGTGCCGAAACCCGTTCTGGTACTTCCAGGTTTGGTGCGGTGCGCAACCCGAAATCACACAACCCGAAGCATCTGTAACCCGAGGTATGACTGTAGTATTGTCTGAAATTTATTGTATTTAAAATTTGATGTTCAGGTAGAACTCTCCTCTCTGACACCGCAATTTCTAAATGCAAGGTGCTTTCTCTATATCCAACCATGTTCTCTGAAGTGATATAGTCCTGGAAACATTTTAGAACATCATCAGCTGTTTATGTGAACCCAGACACCAAAGGAGACCAAAATACAACAACAACAACAACAACATAGTATGCTACCCTTTATCTACAGATAAAGGGTGGCATACTATGTTGTTGTTGTTGTGGAGGGCAGTACACAACAGTTCACAGCATAGAGCACTGTTATTCTAAATTTGCTTAAGTATAGCTATTTTCAAATTATTCACATTGTATTTTTCATTTGCTATGTTCCAGGCCAGCCTTTATGCAGGAAGTAGGCGAAAATGAGACAGCTGTGACTGAATTTATCCTCATCGGTTGGTCAGGTCGACCCAAGTCAAGGATGGTTTTAATGACAGTTTTTATAATTTCCTACTTCATAACAGTTCTTGGGAATGGACTTATTGTTGTGGTAGTGATATGTGACCCACGGCTCCACAACCCCATGTATTTTTTCCTCTGCAATTTGTCCATTATTGACCTCTGCCTCACAACAACATCGCTCCCACAATCTATAGCCAACTGCTTAGTGGACAGGCCTGTAATGTCTCTTGCTGCATGCTATACACAAATGTATTCTATTCTCTTATTTGGTACAACTGAATGTTTCTTCCTGGCTGTCATGGCTTATGACCGATACATTGCTATCTCTAATCCACTGCGCTACACACTCATCATTAACAGGACAGTGTGCATCATGTTAGCCACTTCCACATGGGTGGCAGCCTTTCTTATAACAGTTGCCCCTTGTCTTGCTAAGCCAGCTAGGTTTTGTGGAAACAATGAGGTGGACCATATAGGATGTGAATTCAAATCTATGTTTAAGCTCATTTGTACGGATACCTCTATGAGCCAAATAAGCGTATACTTCACCAGTACTTTGTCACTAATTATTCCCCTTAGTTTTATTCTTTTCTCCTATATGCGCATTCTAGCAGCCATTGTAAGAATGCACTCAGAAGGAGGCAGAATGAAGGCTTTCTCTACATGTGGGTCTCACCTGGCGGTAGTGACTATGTACTATGGCACAGCCATATTTGTCTACCTTTTTCCTCAGAATGAGAAGACTCATGAGATGGAAAAAGTACTTGCAGCATTCAGTGCAGTGCTTACACCTGTGTTTAACCCTTTAGTTTACACACTAAGAAACCAGGAAGTTTTAGGAGCACTGAAGAGACTTTTAGGTAACAAAAAGCCAGGCATCACATACTAAACTTGTTTATGCAGCTGTTTTAGTTGCATTGTTCCTTCATAATGTGAAGCAACATTTCCTTGATTTTCCCATAGTGTCACTTCTTTTTACTGTTTTTGGCAATGAAATGGAAATACACTACAAATGTAACAGGAATGCAAAGTTAACGTTCATGTTATGGCATATCTTATCCAAAAATATAATTACCTACAAAATGTGAACTTAGCTGTGGTGTTATTTTTATTCTCCCTGTCTTATAAACCTATCAACAGCTTGATCTCTAGCTCAGCAGAGTCACAATATTGGTGGCCCATTCTTGTACAGTGGTGCCCCGCAAGACGAATGCCTCGCAAGACGAAAAACTCGCTAGGCGAAAGTGTTTTCCATTTTTTGAGTCATTCCACAAGACGAATTTCCCTATGGGCTTGCTTCGCAAAGCGTGTTCTCATTAAAGAGAGAGCACGTGTTGCGGATGGGGCCAGACAAAACATCCTCAGTTGCCAGCCAGGCTGTTGCAAGGGAATTGAATTGATTGGTGAATGTTGTTACTGGGGTAAATTTGATGTTGCCAATTAAGGGGTGGAGCCAGAGGTTATTCCTACTGGGTCCACAGCTTGTTCCTTTCTCTTTCGCTGTGGACACCGGATCACATGGAGCACTTGGACTGTCTGGAGGACAGTGATGCAAACTTCTCATTGTCTGGTTACATTTTTTTTTTATTTCCCCCTTCTTTTAATCCTCTTTAGTCCCTTAAATAATTTAATTCCCCTTTTTCCTGTTCAATTCCCACCCCACCCTTACCCTGCCCTGTGGGAAGATTCTCCCTGTATCTGTGGCTTGCCTTTCTTTCGCAAAAAGGTTTCCCCCATTTCTCCTGTTGTAAATTGTGGGGCTAGTCAGGGCTAGTCAGCTTAGCTGGAATCACTTTCGTTTATAGCACCCCCCCGAAGGTTGGCTTTATTTGAGTGTGTGCAGCGCTGATGGCCAAATTTTAATCTAGCCTTGGGCAGGAGCACTATTTTGAGTTCCTTTAATATTGCTATGAGACTAGGATTCTCAGAGCAGAGGCAAGGAGGCCTATTCGGCCTGCACATAACTTCCAAGCCTAAGTCTGCTACAGGTAGCAGTTAATTGTTAAGTCTCTGACCTCTCTATAAGAATGTATCTGCTTGCAGGCTCAGTTGCTGCTAATGTATATCTGAGGCAGACAGAGGGCGGCAGAGGCTCTCTGTGCCTCCAATGACTATGAGCACTCTGTATATGCTCTTGAACTATGCTGTTTCTGAACAAGTTTATTTTCTTTAAGTTTGTTTTGCCCTGATAGTGGCGACTGCCATTTTAGAGACGAGCCATTGTGGCTTAGTGGCTAAAGCATAGGACTAGGACCTGGGAGACAGGGTTCATATCCCCCTCTTAGCCATTGTTATAACAAACAAATAAACTGCTCCTTTTGGGCTATTCTGTTGCTGGGTAGTTCAGCCCATTTGTGATAAAATAACTGGGTTTCTTGAAGGGGTGCTTCCCTCTAAAAGGGCAAGCAGGGGTACCTGGACAAGCTGTGGGCTGCCTCAACTCTGCTATTTCACTGGAAACATTTACGCCTGGCCTAGCAGGTGATCCTAGGGCTTTGCCCTAGAATTCGATGGCCTGGAAGCGTTTCCGGCCTGAATAGCGTCCCCATGTGGTCCATTAAGCATTGGTTTCACCGGTTCCTTACATTGTTTAGTTTTGCGGACTATGACTGGGCTTTTGCAAATGCCTCAAGAGCTTGCCTCTCCTGCAGGGGATGACTTGTGGACGCCCCAGGTGCCTTCTTCCAGAAGGAAGCATCTTTGAAGGCTGCAATCCAGGAGGAGGGCAAAGAGGAGCAGGGATCATGATTCAGACATCACCTTGGACCTCTACAGGGGTCAGGGTGAGGCTGTCCTGGGTCTTTAGGGATCATCCTGGATAGCTCAGCTGGTCAGCGCATAGTGCCGGTAATGCCTAGGTTGCAGGATTGGTCCCTATATGGGACAGCTGCATGCTCCCCCATTGCTCTACCTGGACACTTAGGTCCAGTGTTGAGGGCCTTTTGGTGGTTCCCTCACTGCGAGGGATGTAACAGGCGCCACGTTTGCAATATGCAAGCGGGAGAAAGCATCTTTGTGTGCCCGCACTGCAGTTTGCTCTGTGCGTTGCAGGGCACAGCGCTGCTCGGGCTGCATTTGCATTGCATTGCGTGAGAGATTTGCATTTGCATTGCACAGAGGGTGTGTGTGCATTGCATAGAGGGTGTGTGTGCATTGCACGGAGTGTGTGTGTATTGCACAGAGTGTGTGTGCATTGCACGGAGGGTGTAGTGGCATTGCACAGAGTGTGTGTGTTGTTGTTGTTGTTGTTGTTGTTGTTTTTTGCATTGCACAGAGAGTGCATTGCACGGAGTGTGTAGTTGCATTGAACAGAGGGTGTGTGCAGTGCACGGAGTGGGAGTGCGGTTTTTTGCATTGCACGGAGTGTGTAGCTGCATTGAACGGAGTGTGTAGTTGCATTGTATGGAGTGTGTAGTTGCATTGAACGGAGTGTGTAGTTGCATTGCATGGAGGGTAGTTGCATTGCATGGAGTGCGTTTTTTGCAATGCACGGAGTGTGTAGTTGCATTGCATGAAGTGTGTAGTTGCATTGCATGGAGTGTGTAGTTGCATTGCACAGAGTGTGTAGTTGCATTGCATGGAGGGTAGTTGCATTGCATGGAGTGCGTTTTTGCATTGCACGGAGTGCGTTTTTGCATTGCACTGAGTGTGTAGTTGCATTGAACGGAGAGTGTAGTTGCATCACACAGAGTATAGTTGCATTGCATGGATTGTGTGAGCACTGCACGGAGTGTGTTTTTGCATTGCACAGTGTGTGTCTGAAAAGGAAGCTGGCTCGGCGGCAGTTTTGTCGGGACTTTTTTAGGGGTTCTGGCCAGCGTCGGCCCTGTAAATTTACGTATTATGATGGCAGCACAAGATGCCCCCTGCCCAAGCGGGGGCTGGAAGCTGGCAAGCAATACCTCAAGACCTTTTGCCCATATTCCCATTTTATTTAGGGATCCAGTTGGATATCGTTGCTAAAAATATACCACTTGCCTATGCTGTCTGCCTTGAAGGAAGTTATTTAGTAATACTTCCTCTGTAGCAAGTGATGCTTCATCAGATCCGATCTTGCTGGGTCACTTAATTAATCTTGCATGCAAAGTGGTTACCCCAGGCCGCCCCTTCCCTTCCCACTAGGCCAGGCTGCCTGCGGCCTGAGGTCCCCTTACCTTTCTCATGCAATGGTTGCAATTCCTAAATGTTGAGGTCCCCTTACCTTTCTCATGCAATGGGATCTCATGCAATGGTTGCAATTCCTAAATGTATGCAATAGTAGTTGGCCATGGCAGGATACTTGCACAGGGATTTTTCAGGTTCATGCTGATGCTGCTGGATCTTTGCCCTTTGGTTTTTTATTTCAGGAGCTGCTGGTGTGCAAAGCCATGGCCTCAAGCCCGGTATGGTGAGGCAATCATGTGACCTAACTTTGAGTTTTCCCCATTGTAGTAGCAGTTCACATGTGGCCCGAGGAGTTCAGTGACCATCGGATCTGCTTTTGGTCTGATAACCAGGTAGTGGTGAGTGTCTTGGCTAAACAGTCTTACGCTCCAGCAGAGTCTCCACCCCTCCGCTCACGCTTTTGAGCTGCACCGCTTAAGGTTTAATATTGAGCTTTCTGCTCTCCTGATTACGGGATCCTCTAATGATGTCACTGACACACTATCCCAGTTTCAGATGGAGCACTTCAGATCCTGGGCTCCAGACACTCAGCTATTGCCAGACTTTTCCAGACCACCTGTGGCATTTTGACAACAATTAGCAATTACAGAGAGCAGCAGCTTCCATTTCCCCTTCTGCTTTAGCTCTTATGGGAAGGCCTGGATGGATTTCTTAGCCTTAAGCTGGCAGTCCTCGGCCATTCAGATGAACTGGCCCCCATCCTCTGAGCAGATCCTGCAGTATTTGGTCCACCTGCCGCAGATTGGGCGTGCTGTTATAACTATAAGAATTCAGTCCGCTGCAATGTCTGTTATACTGAAGCTTTATTTTTCAGAGACCCTTGCATAAAGTTTGTAATGCGCAGGGCCTTGGAAGGTTGGAATAGGCTCCAACCTCATAGGACAGTGGGCAGGAAGTCGGTCAATTTTACCTATGCAGTATCTGCAACAAGTTAAAACATGTCTGCTGGTAAAATATCAAGGCGAGACTCCTTTCAGTATTCCATTGCATTTTGGTGCACTGAGGGTTGGGGAAATGGTTGTTGGAGCCAGCACAGGGCTGAGAGTCTGGAGGCTTATTGCTTCAGGACTTTTCCTTATCTGCTTTGGAGCTTGTCATTAGAGTTGGGAACTCTAAAACAGACCTAATGGGCAGGAGTGCCACCATCAGGCTTCCCCTCACAGCTGAGGAGGACCTTTGCCTGGTTATGGATACCAGAAATATTTGGCTCTTCGTTCACCTGGGGGCTGGCCTGCTCCTAGTGCATGAAAATTGGTTCCCGTTAGCCAGGCATTAATGTGCTTATGTCGTGCACCAGTTATTACGGCCTGCAGCTTGCCTACCGCTGAACACGCCTCATTCCTTCCGAATAGGGCTGCTGCAACGGCTGCACACTGGGGGCCTGTCAGTAGACAGGATTGTGAATACGGTTCATTTGAAGTCTGACGCTGACAAGGGTTATATCAGGAAGTGTCACAATGATGTCTGTGCTGATGCTTGTCTGTTATTTCCTTTTCTCATAGGAGCAGCGGTGCACATTTGGGCCACAGCATTGTACACTGGGCTGGCAAGCGCGCTGACAAGTCTGGACTGGGGTGCCATCTCAGTCTTCCTGCCCATGTGAACATATACTGGATGTCCAGATGGAATGCTTTGGGAGGAGATCCTTCCTTTGGTGCGGTCGAGTGTGACCTATGCAGGTCCTCCCGCAGTGCTGATGGTACAGCTAGGCGAGAATGATTTGCT